CTTGATGGTAGACACCGTGTGACACTGACTTATAATTCAACTTGAATGTAAAAGATGACAGTCGGAATAATTTATCTCCCATCAAACTTTCTGACATCGCACGGAAGTCGCTGATTAATGATTATCATTCCCCAAACTTAAAGCCTACACAGTATCTAGTTTCACATCCTAATCTTTATTGAGAAACCATAATATATACAAGACAATCATCAACCACACAATATGAAACAAGTAACCCATCATTTAAAAACGTGCTTCCATGCAATAACGAGACTACTAAACAATTCCAGTGTAACATTTACAAACATACTACATCGAATGAAACACTATCAACGTAACACAAACTAAAAATACCATAGAATGTCTTGAAATAGAATTCTTTTATTGTTATTTAAAGATACTACTGATGAACATCAAGCATCTCTAGGATTTCTCGAGTAATTCGTCCCATCAATCATACATACACACTGAAAATGAATTTCATTGACATGATAAGTTCATAGCGAATCACAGTGACTACATGGTACAATATACCTTAATAAATGAGAAGAGAACTGAAGCAATCTACCATGAAATCAAGACCAGTAATAATCTTTAATATTGCATATTTACTTTACAAAATCAACTCATTCACATATTAAACTAGTACACTATGAATTTGAAATTTTACATGGTGGACTGATTTCAGTTAGGACAGTCATTGAAAAACCAAAATAATAAAGCTTACATTCATAAATCTCGATAACATACAGAAATACCTTTCACGTTAACGCTCAAGATAACGTGTGACACTGTACAACTCAGTAAGTTCAGTTCAATCGTCAAGTTTTCAACTATATGACTGAAATTCAAGTGTTCAAGCCATTGAACCATAAGATCAAATGACAACGTGGTGAATCCAGCCGGTCATGTGCTAATAGGCAAGATCGACAGCTCTGTTCCACCGTGAATGGATTATTTACATATCTGACGTCTACTTTTACATGTGACAACCTTATTAACATTACTTATTTATAAATATACATGAGGTTTAATATGATTTGACTTTTCGAGCGATAAATACATACCCTATTGCACCACCTTCAATACACTAACGAACTGGTCTGTCACGGTCGCTGTATACGAGATAACTGTAAACCGCTTATACCTAATCAAAAGACTGTAATATGTTGTCTGTTATGAAATTTCATCATTTCAGCTTGTAATACTTGTTACTTTAAGCAATATCGAGGCAATGCTCACAGGATGCACACATGTCAATAAGAGACTGATCGATTGCAATGCTAATGATCAGTCGGAAGATTTGAGCAACTAATACAAAAATGAATTAATGAACAACATATGTTTACAGAATTTTGAAAAACAGTACACTGGGAAACAGCTTGCAAACAACGGTACTCTCTTAATCAATTTCCGCTTCATCAAGTGATGATAAGTACTAATCAGGATGATGTAAATAAAAGAAACAATTTCATTGCTGTCAGGTTGTTATCACTAAACCAATGAGTTTTTCCGCATAAGGGAATTTCATTATTTATGTGCCGACTTAAAATAACAGCCTTACAAAATTCCCATTGAATAAATGCACTAAAATCGTGAAACCAATAACAACCTATCACCTCGTCATTTGTAGAGTAAGAAGCGACGCCTTCCTATACAATGCTTATGTCTATTGTGAGTGTCACAAGACCAAAGTGCAATCGTTGTGTGTAAATGCAAAGATGACATAAGAAAGAGGATCGTCAAAACAGCAACCTGTTAATTCATCTAAACATACATCGAATATATCATCAACACAAGAATGAACTTATGTGATGAAGATAAAAGAATTCGTATTGTTAAAGCTATACATATGATATTTAAGACAGGTTCAGACTTTAGTTCGTTTTCGAATTGGTTGTGTGAATCTTCAAGCTAACGTTCAACACTACAATTGATCAGTCTTTCACTGGCGTATGTCGATGCTATGTGGATTGTCCTAATACTGCCTTAAATCACAGGCAATATAAGACGAGATGTTATACACAAAAGGAAATACCCATGAGTTCAACATCACTATACAGAATAGACTTGATTCTAAACTCAAACTCAATCTAAGAGATAATAGTGAACAAGTCTAAATTCAGTGAACTAACTAAACTTTATTTTGTCATTTTCTTTAAAAAAAATATGAATAATTAGTAGATTTCTAGACATTATCAAAACATTCAACTTTGATAATGTCATACGACTGACGTGGAGTATACAAGATAATTAAGGTCAAATCACCCTGGACTATTGTTAGATACTTGAATAGACTTTTTCTTTATTAATTTTGTATTTTGATAATTACCTGACAATCATTTGATCTATTCAACATTCTTAGTTTGTTTGGCTAAGAAAGAATGAAATTGGTGTGATAAAAGACAAAGGTTTAATACATTTATCTTCTCATTGTTCTTATCAGTATGAATAATTAGTAAATTTCTCTCCCAAATGCCCTTTTATTACCGAGAGTGTGGAGATTCCGATCTCCCTCTCGAAATGCTCTCACATGGCCAAGCGTATACAGCCTCAGTTAGGAAATTCCTACCCACTGTCTTCTCGTGGTGGGGATGTTGTTTACGAAATTGAGAGGACGAAAAGTGAATGTACGAAGCTTTAACCGGTTTAGCGAATATGAAGGATCTGTCTGGGGGAGTTGGAAAACCGTGATTCCAAACCAATGGTGCACATGGGCTCTAGTATCCTGAGTGAACCAACTGCGAATGAATCAATCGTTGGTCACCGGCTACCACGGGGCTGCATCTCTTTACCATGCTCCACTGCCTTGTGGATCAGACTTTTATGTTGAAGGATCCGGGTAGATCTTAAGAAAACCGCTTTCAATATCACAGCCGTCACACAAATCAAATGAGATTTGTTTGACACATATGGTGCCCCCTTATACAAATATTTATGGGTTTAAATAAATAAATAAATTTCCAGATCTCATTAAAACGTAAAACGTGTTTGGTGTAAAGATAAGTTACGGAATCTAGCCTAATGATATCGATGTTGAGCGTCTACTGATTGTTTCATTCGGTCCAATAACGCTGTTGAAAACATTTCCTGGTAGTGGTAGTAGTAGTAGTAGTGTGGTGCCTGTGTAATCCTCACACTTGATGAGATGGTCATATTGGGTCGTTCTATGAATTAGATTTCTTAATTTATTAGCCCTGAATTTGGTCGGAGCGTGAAATCATCTTGACTAGAACTAACACCACATTGAATTCACTTAGAGATTGACCAGTTGCAGTCCTAAACACATCGATGGGAAGATCCAAACAAACAATACTAAGTGAATTCAAACTTCACCCCATCGCACAAGCAAGTGACTATCAGGACTCAGTGGCCGAGTGGATAACGCGATGGCGTTTGAAGCGAGGGTACTGGGTTCGAGTCCCAGAGTGAACATCAACTCTGAGATGCAGGTACATCCAGCTGACGAGTCCCAAATAGGACGAAACGCGCTTCCTGGATTCCACTGCTAGCCACTATCCATCTCTGCTTAACACCACATTGTCTAAATAAACACTCGTCAATTGGATGTACCTGCATCCCAGAGTTGATTTACACTCCAGAACTCCAGCTCACAACCTTTAGCTTCCAACTCCATCTCGTTCAATTCGAGTGGCAAACAACCAATATACTAATTCAAATTATATTCCTTAATTTTAAATGCACTTGCATAGACTGATGTTGAGTTAACACAGTAGAAAACTATCTGTAACTTTGTTGTACTATTGACAAAACGTAAGTGTTTATAGTGAACTTACATTGTTCAACAACACATTTTTCTACAAAACTTCTATTATTTCCTATTACTTTCATTCATAATAAATCAAAACAAATCTGGCTACTATGTCTGTCATAATGTAATCACCATCATACTTCACTAAAAAGGAATAAGAGAATGAAATACTGTGAAATACCTCATCTGTTAACAACATCTGAAAAATGTCTAGTCCATCTTGATTATTTGTATTATATCAGGAAATCAATTAGTTACAAATATCTGATTAAGGATTATTGACAATACTTCAAATTGGATATTCAATTACAATTATAGGCATATCAATGTACAGTAGTGGAAAAGCATCTTAATCATTAGTGTTCAGCTTCGTTTTCCTCATCATCAATGAATTCAGTGATAAATGATGTCAAATATTACTACCTAGTTTCATGGTACGTTAAGTTGATTGCATAATCCGTTTAATTGCTAAATGTAAATTGAGTTAAACGAAAAGGCATTTTTATTGGTACCGAGATTCAAACAGGCTACTACATCGTACTCAGATATGTCATGTATATACGTTTCAATACTGATCATGAGAAGCTGTTGTTATTTTAAATAAAGACGTAAGGGTAGATTAGATTTTAGGGTAGATTATTTTATTTGTAGGAAGACAGAGATTTAAACTTTACACAGAGGTGTACTCAGTTCTCCAATGGTATATATAATGCTAATCCAGTTACATAGTACATATGGGCATCTACTATAAGAAAAAAAGAAAGAAATGAAATCTGTAAGTAAATCATTGAGATAGACTATTGTGATAATTTGAGGATGTCTTTCTTCAGTTATTATTCTGATCATTTCTTAATACAATGGTTCTTAATACAGATGGTTTCATATTGTCTTTTGTTCTCTAACCTCAATTAGAAAAACCAAATGATTATCATAACTGAGGTAAATTCATTGACTAATTGTGTCTGACACAACGAATTCATTATACAAATATGTCTGTGATAAGGTCAAAGCACTGTGTAGCAGTATGAAGGGAAGTTTTATTAGTAAACATAATCAAGACAATGTTGACGTCGATCATTCTGGTGAATAGACAGATCTAAACATATTTTCCGTAATCAGTCATTCGTTGAAATATCTTCACTACACCTGTCCTTCGTTTAGCATCCCACAATAACAAATACTATATAAACACGAGCTGTTTTAATGAATTTATCTGTCAACAGTAAAAATGCTCAAATTCTTTTTAGTACTCTTCATTGTTGTTGTTGTATGGGATAGTGAGTTTTGCATGGTCATAATCTTATGAAATAAGCATCGAGTAATTGACGACTATATTGTATTATCTTTGAAAATATAAGTCTATCTTAATTATATATTCAATGTACTTCTTATAAGACATGTATTGTTATTCTCATCTGTTTTAGATGCATCCACTACACCTAATATAGACATAGAGGGTAAGTATGAAACTTGATTTGTTTTGTTCATTATGTGTGGTGACACAGGAATATGGTTAATTAGCTTTCTAATTATTGAAATATAACGGAAAGGGGGTTTAGTGAAGATTGTAGTAATTTAATGGTTGAATTCATGAGTCGATAAGAGCTAGAACGTCAAGGAAAAGCTGGAGGCAGTGAACGGCCGTTTTGTCCAAGTACGAGACTCCTCAGCAGTATGCATTCCCTTCTGATAATAATCATCATGTGCATACTGGTGACTGGCATGATGGTGGATGCTCACTGCTCAGATGTTCCATACTAGAACGAAAGGGAATTCCATTCCATTCATGTTTTCCATGGTGATCTAGTTTTAATCGACTCATGAATTCAGTGTGATGATTATTTGTGAATACTGCATACCGCGGTAGATTATGGAAGATAGGAATGTAGGTTGTGATGATGGAATAGTGGGGGTCTGAGCATACTGATTTTTATACACAAAGATTATGCTTAAACTGGTGGATAACAATCGTCTTTGTTGCACATACGATTTCCATTTGCAGTCATATTAGGCTGACTATTCTGACTATGCGTAAGATTTTGAGGAGGTTTCCGGTGAATTTGAGTGAGCGGAATTGATTAGGTGCTCAAAAATTAAGCTTTCGACTGACTTCTGTAATCCTTTTAAGTGTCATGTAAGGAGGTGTTGGGAGGTGCGTTTCGAATGAGCTTGTTTTGTGTGGCCAACATATTACGCCCCACAAGAGCAAGTGAATGAAATCGTCGAAAAGAACATTTTGTTCATTGAATCGCCTTCCTTCTTCTTCTTCTTCTTCCTCAATAACACAATGGTACTTTTCCATCATTCAATTCAAGTCTAGAGAACAATTACTAGTACATGTACATCCCATTCCAAACAATTATAACTGTTTTATTACATTTACACAAGACACAATTTACGATAGTCACTGACTAATTTTCATTTCTCATTTTAGCCATTAGAAATAGAATGAATGTGAATTCTACTGGTAAATTTGACAAAGATCCATACTTTTATCAATCACTCATATAATCTGTTGAAGTCTATTTTACAGATGTGTTAATTTACTTTACATTCAGTTATTAATAATTGAACAATAAATATGTAATTAAAAACACATACCATATTAGGAAGGATGGATAGTGGGTAGCAGTGGAATTCAGGAGGCGCGCGTAGTCCTGTTTGGGTCTCGTCAACTGGATATACCTGCATTTCAGAGTTGATGTTCACTCCGGAACTCGAGTTCAGTACTGTACGCTTCAAACGCCATCATGTTATTCACTTAGCTACTGAGTTCTCATAGACACTATCCATCTTTGCTCATAATGCTTGTAAATTGGGGCTATGTCGAGGAAGTACGCATATGCCGATACGAGACTGATCAATTGTAGTCCTAAACATCAATGGGACGATTCAACCAAGCCATAACAAGTGAACATACCATATTAGTTTAAATAGAATCCATACGCAGTGGACCATTTCAGAATCTCTCAATAAGTAATGGTTACACATGTATTAACATCTTCTGAATTTCATTTTTATTAGACACTGAAGAGGATCTGACACAAGAGAGTGATGAAGATGACGATGGTAAGTTATTTGCTTATTGAATCATGTAAACATATATTAAATGACTTGGTTTTGGGAAGGTCACTTTAAAAATTTAGGTCATATTTATCAAGGTTTGATGAAATTCGGACTTGCGCACTATACAATAACGAATCGATGATCTAATAGTTAGGCTCTGATAGCCTCACATTCGATCCTTTTGATGGGTTAGTTGATAGGTCCAGATGAGTTATCTCATTTTCAATGGTGTCACAGGTGAGATTAATCCGTCAACAATACAAACTACATTAGTTAATTTACTCCTGATGATGTTCGTTGTGATAGTTTCTAAGTTTATAGACAGAAATTATAATATTAGGAAACATTTTCTATCTATAAATTGGTTGATATTATCCTAAAGATCCTTTCAAAACTGTCTTTGAATACACCGGTGAATAAACTGTTGTCGGATCTATAGGAAATTGTGAGTTCACATATTATTGTAAACACAAAATGAAGATGGATAGGAAGCAGTATAGTGAGAATTACAGAATTGCCTGTTATCTGGTGCTGAACATCTGTTACCGATAATGATTGATTGTTTGTTTGTTTGTTTTGCTACAATGAATGATATGTTTTCCTAACAATCAGATAAACGTCAACTCACTTTAATGATGATAAGCGTTCATCCTACAATCAACCATTGTATTCTCCACTTTTCCAGATAACTCAAACTCCAATATAATAGACGAAGAGCAAAGTAAATCATTTTATTCTTATTTTGAGTTTGTTCGACTTTCAATAAACATTATTTGTAAAGCACCCATCAGAACATCGGTTATATGATGACAAAATTGTCACATTACTACCTGTTGTATTTCAAATGATCCCAATCACTTATTTGTTTAAATTGAATTTTAAACAACATTGCTTTCTTACCAACACCAACTGTCCCTCGTGGATCATAGGCTGCTGACCAGGATTCTCCATCCAACTTTATCCTGGACTCGTCACCCCAGTTCTCTACAGGTGTTTTTCATTCATTTCGTTACACAATTTCCTCTCAATATTTGATTTTCAATCCGTGACAATATACTACTTTGAGATTTTGTAAATATAAAGCAACTTTCTACCTTACTGTAGAATACAGTTTCGGCAAATGGAACTAATTCTAAATACGATTGTACAGCTTAGACGAAATGGTCGAAGAGAAAATTTTCTTCACTGAATTGTCCACTATCTTCCTAATAATTGAATTTTAAACGAATATTCTAGTTTCTCAGATGATATGAATAATGCATCTAAACCACTTATAACCTTTCATTTATGAATTCCATAATTCATTCGGTTTCCTCATTGTATATACAGAACGAGAATTACTGCAATGGCTGGAAAGTAAACGGCGTAAGTTATAAATCCGAGTTGAGAAATTGTTTCGAGATTTGAATTCCTTCTCAGTTCACTCCAGTAGGTGTATATTAATTGAACAATGCTATCACTACCTGTAATACAACATAATTAACATTATGTATAATGGACATTCATTAAATCTTACATTCTTCATAATATCTTATATGAGTTAATTTCAAAAAGCATATCGACTATGTTCTTCATTTAGGTGCGTATTTTTCGACGGGTAATCAAACTACTACTCAGTACGTTCTATTTTACTCAAAACTATTACTAAACGTAATTTAATCTTGTTGTATGAATAAAAGATGTTTTCTCAATACATAGTTGCATATTTAACTACACTAATCTAATCAGATAGAAAAACAGTCATTAGTTGCTATATACTTTATGGGTGCCAGTTTAAGATGACTAGTACGTTAATCAACACATTACACTTTTACAACAGATCAGACAAGTTTAGAACTGGAACACTGATAAGTCTTACTGATTGAACGCTATACTCAGATCCCGATCTGCTCTCGTAATCTCCAAGCTAGAATTAAAACAGCGACTTGACCACGAGAGAAAAGGCACAAAATATGCAGCAAGCACTTTACTCCAAACGTTCATTTATGTACAGAAAGTATAGGGCTTTTATAGTATTTTAGAAGTCCTTGGGTTTTCCTCAAAATTCTCGAAAGCTATTAAACATAGTAGCCGTGTAGTAATCAGCCAATCAGAAACTCGACATGTGACTTTTCACTTTCGTGATGTTGCCAGTCAAACTCTGAGTGGATAAAATATTTCTTGATGTTTCCTTAGTTTATCATGTCTATTGCGAGAAATTTTCTGGATCATCCCAACAAAGACATTGCGTACTTTACATGTTAATACAACTATAATAATATGCCATATCATTTACATATAGTTTATATACACCAGTGTTATTATTCATCTCCATGTAGATCTCTACATAACAACTGAATATGAAGACAGTGTAGAACAGAGAAACGTATTTGAATTTCGTCAACAGCATGAACTAGCTTGTCTATTAAGCAAACCTCACTAGACGTTGTCACATTGAATGATACAAGCTATGCTACTTTTCATGTGATTCATTCGAACAACACAACATATTACTGTATGAAACGGTAATCATAACTCCGGACCATTTATCCAACACTCATTCACATGAAAGTATCACAGTGAACATTTGTTTACTGCTTTTATTCATGATAATAATTAGACCGAATAGCTATTTTGCCTAGTTTTACATAATGTACTTCTTAAAAATAAAAAACAAACATTGGAAACCCATTTGTTAAATCAGATACCCGGTACAAATTAGTGTATGTTACTTTGAATCATTACCCATGTGTATATGAGCTATATTGAATATATCTGATTGTCGAAAGCGAATTAGGCGTAGACACCATCGGATCTGTAATATAACAGCCAACAGTTGAACATTTTAATCATTTAGACACTGTCACAGCAACAAAACTGAATAATTCTTAATTGTTTCTTTTCATTGTAGATAAATGAATGTGGACAACTAACAATGGAAATTTAATTAAAATAAACATTTCAATTAAGGATCTTTTGTTTGTTCTCTTTACATTTTCGAAATAATCCATCGTAATTCGATGTGGTACATATCTAAGCTGTGTAACGTCGTGATTGACTTTCTCGGAAACATACTGCCAAGTGCCATATAGTTTATACGACCTAGTTTGTATAACGATGAACTCTATTCATTCATAGGGTATAACAGCAAAATATATACTTGCTAAACAAATACAAACAGTCACGACAGAATGTCTACGATATTCACCTTCATATTAAAAAATATTTTATGGCATCTACATTGATGATCATTGTTTCAATAAGTGGTTTTGATAAGAGTTATGCTAACACAATACCTGACATAACAAACTTTACTACTGTGACTCATTTACACCTAGAAAAAAGAGCTTCAACACTGCATTCATTTCCTTTTTAATTCAGCTTCTTGCTATGAACTACACCTGATTTGGCCATCTCTTCCCATGTATTCCTATTATTAGAACATACTGCAGATGTCTAATAAATATTCGAGAATTGACAAATAAGCACTGTGTTTGGAAGTACATACTTATATCCAAGAAGTTTCGATGAAATACAAAATCAACATCAACGTAACCATACAATGCTTAAATAGATATTCGTTAAAACAAATTTGACTATTACGTATAACAGTTTTCAATGCTGAGAAATGTAACAATACTGATTCATTCAGTTAAATGAAGATATTGTAGGATTTCCTGAACGAAACCGGACAACCACATAGAAATACTCACACCCGATAACTAATCAGTACTCCATAGTTTGCTTTTAACTACCCATCATGTTATAATCTAGATCAATAGAATCAACCAACTATCAGCACCCCACACCTAGGTTCATGTACTAAATACATCATAACGAAAAGGGGAAAACCATGTTAGACGGTTGCAGGTAGTTGACAAGAAACCCTGAATCTGGGGTTCATGGTACTTGGAACTCTTCAGAAAAGTGTACCTGTAACTAGGCCAATAAAATCCGGTCAGCGCTGTATATAAAACTAGAAAAATGTGAAAAATGTGGCCACTACTAAGTGATCAATCAACTATAAGTCGGTTGCGATCCGAAAACATCTCTGATTCTGAAGCCGAGCGATACGGGATAGCTCACATCAGAGAGCATCAGTTACCTCAAGATGACAGGTACACCGTGGTGATGGATACCACATAGGACTAAATCTAGGTTCACAGTTTCCTGTCCACTACTAGTAACCACCATCTAGTATCCCATCATGGTGCACGCGATAGTGAATCACATGTAGACTAGAGGCCACATTGGTAATTGATCGACAGAATATATTCAAAGCTAACTACGAGACTAAACAAACATAACATTAACATCTATTCAATGATCAATCGATTGTAAGAGAAAGGAAATTTAGATTCAGTTCTTTATAAATCGTATAAACTGTAAACAAAATATGTAGAAATAAGTTGCACAATCTGAAGAAACCATTCAATAACAAAATAATATATAAATAAACTTTAATGCAAAAATATAAATGTAGAAATGCTGTACATCAACGTCTATTTGAATCTCCTCTCTCAGTGATTAAAACAACAATCATATTTATGTCATTACAAAAACTTTATGCAATGCAACTCGTTTATACTTAATATCAACACTCGATACAGTAGCTTTGATTCGATCACCTAAACGTAAAGTGAACATTTTGTGATGAATATCACCGCCATCACTGACGCCAATCCCAGTGGTAGACGTTCCACTGGTAATCTTTAGGTTAGATGTTGAACAATTTCGAGGATATTCATGTCTTGGAATGTAGGCATTTTCTTCAACACCAATGTCACAGAATGCACCAAAAGTAGTGACATTCTCTACACGACCTTTCACTTGCATACCTTTACGTAAATCCGATATTTTCATTACGGTCGAATGAAACAATGGAGTAAAACAGTCTAAAATAGAATAAAACCATGTCGATTTATGAAGGGTTATAGTAATTGGACAAATATTATTAAATAAATGACAAATACACTTCAGCAGCAAGGCACTCTACTACTACTACTACTACTACTGATAAAAACGTTTATGAGATTAAGGCCTCATGACTCACATGTACAGTTCTTGGTAGTCGGGATTTAAAGATAAGCCAGAAGGGAGTAAGGAAATATAAATTATACAAAAGCATAATAACAATATTGTGGGAGAAATAGAAGAGAGGAAATGGCGTGAACGAAGGATAAGTAACAAACAATACACAATTCTTGTAAGAAACCAACGAAACCAGATTGTATTCATCTAAAAAAAACCTGTTTGGTTAACGATGGATGTGATAGTAAACTAGACCAGGATAGTTTATAGGCATTTATTCGAAGCAAAACATGAGAGCATTTCTAAATTTCTAAATAACCCAATTCGTAGAATCACATTTAGAAGGGTGTCATATGTCAATGGGTATTTGGAGGTGAAACGTTGTCAGTATACAATTACCGAACATCTTCAGCTATGATAGATCACGTTTCTAAACTGACTAACCACTAAACATTTACCTCAAACAAAAGTCTCAACAAAGTAAATCTTATTAAACAAATATATGGCAATAATCATACCTTGACGCTCATCGAAATCCAAAGGACGTGTTAGTGCTACGAGAATATCACGTAAAGTATCAAGTCCAACAGTTTTCGAACAAAACTGTTCAAGTCGTTTATCTCCTATACGAACAAACAAAGAAAAATGATACATTTTTAAACATTCAAATTATCAGTACACTAGAATACTTCTTTACATGAAATCATCCTTCCAATTTATGATTCATTTCATTAGATGAGTGCAAATAACTCATCAAAAAATAACATTAGAACATGCTATTTTCCCCACAACAGTAACATATAGAAAGCAAAAAAAAACCACTCACTATCTTCACTGATCATAAACTGTGTTGCGGCTGTTCTCATTTTCATCGACCCTACATCTGTCAGATTTAATTGGAGCAATGAAATAATACTGAAATAAAGATTACAATAGATGAAAAACTAGTAAATTATGACAAAATGAAACTGATGTACTTTGTCTACATGATACATATTACTAGCTAATATTCAATTCAATACAATAAAAATTGACGTAACTTAGTAATCAAGTGAACACACTCTATGGAAATGAATTCGGTTACCTAAACCGAAGTAGGTAGACATGGGTTCGACTACGAAATGAATATTTAACATCTAAACAAATAACTAGTGAACGGATGGCATTATGGTACTGATGGGTAAATTCGACCACAACTAGTATATTTATTCGTAAACAAACATGAACACACCAGTAGCAGTTACATAAATACATATGCGCCACGCCATAACAATGAGGACAGGATTTGTGTGGGCGCTGTGATACTCACCGGGTGCCCAAAACGAAGCAGGTGGATTCTCTTAGGCAATCACTCTACAAGCCTTTATTCCAGAGGTCTAGTCCATAAGGAGATGAAAAAACGTTAGGACATTGGGTCTCATAGTAGCTGATCACCAACAACAGGTTCATACTCCATTCGTATCCTCAGGATACAGGAGCCCGTGTGCACCATTGGTTTGGAATCACGAATTTCCAACTCCCCTAGATGGACCCTCCATATCCATCACACGGTTAAAGCTCCGGACATTCGATTTTCGTCCTCTCAATTTCGTAAACAATACCCCTGATGTGAGAAGGCAATGAGTAGGACTTCGCTGGCAGAGGCTATATACGCGTGGCCATATGAGAGCATTTCGAGAGGGAGAGTTCACTCTCCCCACCCTCATTCGTACCAAGGCATATTTATTTCCGCTGAGACACTTCATTTGCCTAAACTAATTTCAATAGTGATACAATTAATTCACTATGTACAAACTTATGTGTGAAGGTAAAGTCATGCTAATGACTTTACGGATATGAGATAGGAGTACAATATTTCCTTCAAAGAACTAGTCTAAAGAGACACTGCCTTCCTGTGATGGAAAGAAACGGTCAGAAAACACGACTCATAAAATCAACACTCATCATCTAACAGGCCAGGGGACTTCTATCTCCGTAGGTAAGACCTTTGAAGGTGCTAACTGTAATATCTACAACTATGCATAAAAACGCTGTGTGTCACTGATTTTGATCAGCTGGCCCTTGAACTCTCGGTTCATGTTTCCATTTAGTCAAGACAATGACTAATCCAGTTCACATTACAGCTGTTTTCGTTAAAAAGAAGTATCTATTCACGTGGTGTGGACAACTGAAAAGTGACAATTACTCACATATCCATAACAGTACTCGAAATCATCCCATAGGTTTATACAATAAACAATTACAATACTTTCTGAGAGAATACAACAAACTCACTTTGCTGCAACTTCATATGAATCAGGATGAACAGCAGTCTGGTCTAATGGATTAAAACAATTCACATCGGATTGATCAGTAACTGTTACGTCCATAATTCGTCGTTTTTTACATTTCTTGTTTGATTCATTAGATATATGTTTACGTTTAGTGCTACCAGTGAAAATATTGGTTATTTGAGTATCACAAGTTAAATCATCACCATCATTATCATCACCACTCGAAATAGAAATCATTTCAACATCCCTAAATTGTTAATGAGTGTTGAAAAATAAGGGAAATAAACAGTGGAAAAAAAAACAAAGTGCTAATTGTTTTCAGTACAAACACATGAAACAGAATGTATACACACTAATACACACTTATATAACAAGCATCCAGGGCAGGGTAAAGTATAAAACAAAAATTTCGCTTCTCTTATATTTAGTAAGAAAAACATTTGGAACATGAAATCACTTGACAGCTATTTCGTCTTCATATGTGACTCCTCAGCAGTATGCATTCACAAAACCATCGGATATCGAACACAAAATACATAAGTCTATTGTGGCGAGCGCCTAAACTTCATATCACCAAATCGACCACTAGTGGTTAACATTTCTAACCATAGTCATTTTGCAACATTGCGCAACCATCTACCAATGTCATTAGTGAGTAACGGGCTTGAACCAAACATGGTTGAACTACGCTGTTAACCGGTTTTCACTATGATTCTGAGAATTACGTCTCAAAATTAGTTACTAGCGAACATATGATTAATGCTTGTGTGAAAGGTTTGTGGAGAATAGTTTACTGTAAAAGAGTTTTCGTTCATAGGATTCCGAGATTATTGGCCAAAAGGTAACGCCTTCTCAGTGAAACTTGGATATCCTTGAAAATGATTCAAGGTAGAGATATCTGGATGCATAAAGATGGAGAAACCTACACTAAGACGATATAACTAGTTAATCGTCTTTATTTTAACTGCAATGTTTCCCGTTAGGTAAGTCACAGATTGCACGACCTGATTATCGACTAATCCAAACACCTCGCAATGCATCCAGATATTAAATTACGTAAATTACGTAATTTATTGAGTTTAAAAACCATGAATCATGAGAAATTACAAATTCAATAGGAAATACAATATTTATGGACAATGTCAAGACAACTTGTAAAGTTGAGAGTGTATCAATAACATACAAGTGGAAAGGAGATGTAGATTACTTCATTTGGATTAGGGCCATAAATGCGATCATTGGATAAAAATAAGTTGAGTGATATGGCTCAGAATCAGACGAAATGGAGAAAATCCAGTCACTTTCTATACTTACACACATCTTAAGTCTCGATATTTATACACACATATCTTTTCATTCTATATTCTCAAATCATACTCACAATATTAGAATATATCTTCCGATTTTCACCTAGTCATGTAGAAGTAGTATGACAATCTGAGCTAACGTGTAATTGTGACGGGCTCCACATTGGTTATCACTGATGACTGACTAGATTAGACCTTTAGGGTAAAGGTGAATCCATTAGTATGCAAGTCTAATAAAACGATGAATATTTACTTGAGGGACATTTTTACAACTTGGAGTTCACACACTGTTACCCATTGATGACAATTACAATTTTATTACATAACTAATGGAAAGATGTAAAAGCAAGCTTACTTAGTCCCATCTAAAGTAGTTGTAGAATAGGTGGGTTTGACACGTACAAATCCAGCACATTGAGCGAATGTAGCTTGTCCAATACCTTTAACCTAAAATAAAAACCGTTATCCATAAATTACCCTAATTAATTACTTACAATTCAACTTGAATGTAAAAGATGACAGTCGGAATAATTTATCTCCCATCAAACTTTCTGACATCGCACGGAAGTCGCTGATTAATGATTATCGTTCCCCAAACTTGAAACCTACACAGTATCTAGTTTCACATCCTAATCTTTATTGAGAAACCATAATATATACAAGACAATCATCAACCACACAATATGAAACAAGTAACCCATCATTTAAAAACGTGCTTCCATGCAATAACGAGACTACTAAACAATTCCAGTGTAACATTTACAAACATACTACATCGAATGAAACACTATCAACGTAACACAAACTAAAAATACCATAGAATGTCTTGAAATAGAATTCTTTTATTGTTATTTAAAGATACTACTGATGAACATCAAGCATCTCTAGGATTTCTCGAGTAATTCGTCCCATTAATCATACATATACACTGAAAATGAATTTCATTGACATGATAAGTTCATAGCGAATCACAGTGACTACATGGTACAATATACCTTAATAAATGAGAAGAGAACTGAAGCAATCTACCATGAAATCAAGACCAGTAATAATCTTTAATATTGCATATTTACTTTACAAAATCAACTCATTCACATATTAAACTAGTACACTATGAATTTGAAATTTTACATGGTGGACTGATTTCAGTTAGGACAGTCATTGAAAAACCAAAATAATAAAGCTTACATTCATAAATCTCGATAACATACAGAAATACCTTTCACGTTAACGCTCAAGATAACGTGTGACACTGTACAACTCAGTAAGTTCAGTTCAATCGTCAAGTTTTCAACTATATGACTGAAATTCAAGTGTTCAACCCATTGAACCATAAGATCAAATGACAACGTGGTGAATCCAGCCGGTCATGTGCTAATAGGCAAGATCGACAGCTCTGTTCCATCGTGAATGGATTATTTACATATCTGATGTCTACTTTTACATGTGACAACCTTATTAACATTACCTATTTATAAATATACATGAGGTTTAATATGATTTGACTTTTCGAGCGATAAATACATACCCTATTGCACCACCTTCAATACACTAACGAACTGGTCTGTCACGGTCGCTGTATACGAGATAACTGTAAACCGCTTATACCTAATCAAAAGACTGTAATATGTTGTCTGTTATGAAATTTCATCATTTCAGCTTGTAATACTTGTTACTTTAAGCAATATCGAGGCAATGCTCACAGGATGCACACATGTCAATAAGAGACTGATCGATTGCAATGCTAATGATCAGTCGGAAGATTTGAGCAACTAATACAAAAATGAATTAATGAACAACATATGTTTACAGAATTTTGAAAAACAGTACACTGGGAAACAGCTTGCAAACAACGGTACTCTCTTAATCAATTTCCGCTTCATCAAGTGATGATAAGTACTAATCAGAATGAAGTAAATGAATGAAATCAATTTCATTGCTGTCAGGTTGTTATCACTAAACCAATGAGTTTTTCCGCATAAGGGAATTTCATTATTTATGTGCCGACTTAAAATAACAGCCTTACAAAATTCCCATTGAATAAATGCACTAAAATCCTGAAACCAATAACAACCTATCACCTCGTCATTTGTAGAGTAAGAAGCGACGCCTTCCTATACAATGCTTATGTCTATTGTGAGTGTCACAAGACCAAAGTGCAATCGTTGTGTGTAAATGCAAAGATGACATAAGAAAGAGGATCGTCAAAACAGCAACCTGTTAATTCATCTAAACATACATCGAATATATCATCAACACAAGAATGAACTTATGTGATGAAGATAAAAGAATTCGTATTGTTAAAGCTATACATATGATATTTAAGACAGGTTCAGACTTTAGTTCGTTTTCGAATTGGTTGTGTGAATCTTCAAGCTAACGTTCAACACTACAATTGATCAGTCTTTCACTGGCGTATGTCGATGCTATGTGGATTGTCCTAATACTGCCTTAAATCACAGGCAATATAAGACGAGATGTTATACACAAAAGGAAATACCCATGAGTTCAACATCACTATACAGAATAGACTTGATTCTAAACTCAAACTCAATCTAAGAGATAATAGTGAACAAGTCTAAATTCAGTGAACTAACTAAACTTTATTTTGTCATTTTCTTTAAAAAAAATATGAATAATTAGTAGATTTCTAGACATTATCAAAACATTCAACTTTGATAATGTCATACGACTGACGTGGAGTATACAAGATAATTAAGGTCAAATCACCCTGGACTATTGTTAGATACTTGAATAGACTTTTTCTTTATTAATTTTGTATTTTGATAATTACCTGACAATCATTTGATCTATTCAACATTCTTAGTTTGTTTGGCTAAGAAAGAATGAAATTGGTGTGATAAAAGACAAAGGTTTAATACATTTATCTTCTCATTGTTCTTATCAGTATGAATAATTAGTAAATTTCTCTCCCAAATGCCCTTTTATTACCGAGAGTGTGGAGATTCCGATCTCCCTCTCGAAATGCTCTCACATGGCCAAGCGTATACAGACTCAGTCAGGAAATTCCTACCCACTGTCTTCTCGTGGTGGGGATGTTGTTTACGAAATTGAGAGGACGAAAAGTGAATGTACGAAGCTTTAACCGGTTTAGCGAATATGAAGGATCTGTCTGGGGGAGTTGGAAAACCGTGATTCCAAACCAATGGTGCACATGGGCTCTAGTATCCTGAGTGAACCAACTGCGAATGAATCAATCGTTGGTCACCGGCTACCACGGGGCTGCATCTCTTTACCATGCTCCACTGCCTTGTGGATCAGACTTTTATGTTGAAGGATCCGGGTAGATCCTAAGAAAACCGCTTGCAATATCACAGCCGTCACACAAATCAAATGAGATTTGTTTGACACATATGGTGCCCCCTTATACAAATATTTATGGGTTTAAATAAATAAATAAATTTCCAGATCTCATTAAAACGTAAAACGTGTTTGGTGTAAAGATAAGTTACGGAATCTAGCCTAATGATATCGATGTTGAGCGTCTACTGATTGTTTCATTCGGTCCAATAACGCTGTTGAAAACATTTCCTGGTAGTGGTAGTAGTAGTAGTGTGGTGCCTGTGTAATCCTCACACTTGATGAGATGGTCATATTGGGTCGTTCTATGAATTAGATTTCTTAATTTATTAGCCCTGAATTTGGTCGGAGCGTGAAATCATCTTGACTAGAACTAACACCACATTAAATTCACTTAGAGACTGACCAGTTGCAGTCCTAAACACATCGATGGGAAGATCCAAACAAACAATACTAAGTGAATTCAAACTTCACCCCATCGCACAAGTGAGTGGCTATCAGGACTCAGTGGCCGAGTGGATAACGCGATGGCGTTTGAAGCGAGGGTACTGGGTTCGAGTCCCAGAGTGAACATCAACTCTGAGATGCAGGTACATCCAGCTGACGAGTCCCAAATAGGACGAAACGCGCGTCCTGGATTCCACTGCTAGCCACTATCCATCTCTGCTTAACACCACATTGTCTAAATAAACACTCGTCAATTGGATGTACCTGCATCCCAGAGTTGATTTACACTCCAGAACTCCAGCTCACAACCTTTAGCTTCCAACTCCATCTCGTTCAATTCGAGTGGCAAACAACCAATATACTAATTCAAATTATATTCCTTAATTTTAAATGCACTTGCATAGACTGATGTTGAGTTAACACAGTAGAAAACTATCTGTAACTTTGTTGTACTATTGACAAAACGTAAGTGTTTATAGTGAACTTACATTGTTCAACAACACATTCTTCTACAAAACTTCTATTATTTCCTATTACTTTCATTCATAATAAATCAAAACAAATCTGGCTACTATGTCTGTCATAATGTAATCACCATCATTCTTCACTAAAAAGGAATAAGAGAATGAAATACTGTGAAATACCTCATCTGTTAACAACATCTGAAAAATGTCTAGTCCATCTTGATTATTTGTATTATATCAGGAAATCAATTAGTTACAAATATCTGATTAAGGATTATTGACAATACTTCAAATTGGATATTCAATTACAATTATAGGCATATCAATGTACAGTAGTGGAAAAAGCATCTTAATCATTAGTGTTCAGCTTCGTTTTCCTCATCATCAATGAATTCAGTGATAAATGATGTCAAATATTACTACCTAGTTTCATGGTACGTTAAGTTGATTGCATAATCCGTTTAATTGCTAAATGTAAATTGAGTTAAACGAAAAGGCATTTTTATTGGTACCGAGATTCAAACAGGCTACTACATCGTACTCAGATATGTCATGTATATACGTTTCAATACTGATCATGAGAAGCTGTTGTTATTTTAAATAAAGACGTAAGGGTAGATTAGATTTTAGGGTAGATTATTTTATTTGTAGGAAGACAGAGATTTAAACTTTACACAGAGGTGTACTCAGTTATCCAATGGTATATATAATGCTAATCCAGTTACATAGTACATATGGGCATCTACTATAAGAAAAAAAGAAAGAAATGAAATCTGTAAGTAAATCATTGAGATAGACTATTGTGATAACTTGAGGATGTCTTTCTTCAGTTATTATTCTGATCATTTCTTAATACAATGGTTCTTAATACAGATGGTTTCATATTGTCTTTTGTTCTCTAACCTCAATTAGAAAAACCAAATGGTTATCATAACTGAGGTAAATTCATTGACTAATTGGGTCTGACACAACGAATTCATTATACAAATATGTCTGTGATAAGGTCAAAGCACTGTGTAGCAATATGAAGGGAAGTTTTATTAGTAAACATAGTCAAGACAATGTTGACGTCGATCATTCTGGTGAATAGACAGATCTAAACATATTTTCCGTAATCAGTCATTCGTTGAAATATCTTCACTACACCTGTCCTTCGTTTAGCATCCCACAATAACAAATACTATATAAACACGAGCTGTTTTAATGAATTTATCTTTCAACAGTAAAAATGCTCAAATTCTTTTTAGTACTCTTCATTGTTGTTGTTGTATGGGATAGTGAGTTTTGCATGGTCATAATCTTATGACC